ATAGAAATAAAGTTAGAAATTTTCTAGTCTGACTAGAAAATCAGTGAAATCTGCTGAAACTTTCTGCCAATTCTCCACTTTAATTTTATTTTTGTGCTGTATTTCCCATTTTAAACCCATTGCCAGTTCCTCTTTTACTTCCACCCTTCTGGGGGTGGTGGGTTGGTTTTTCTGGTGCTGATTTGTGCTTTTTCTGAACACATTGTCATTTTTTTTCCTTTCCTTTCAAGCTCTATTATGTCAACTTGAGAACAAAAACCGGAACCTACAGGTGGAAAAAAATCACAAATTTTAAAGGTCAACCTCCCACACCTCGGGACAAACTCTCCTGCTGGGTGTACAAAAACAGGTACAAAAATACTGAAAATATTCAAAATATTTGATTTGGTCTTAATTGTAGAGAGAAAAGATAAAAAAGTGAGGAAAACTCAGGGTTGGGGTGGAGGAAACTCTGCTTTTTAGCTTGACTTACTGGGGGATTTTGTAATAATTTGTAATAATTTTTTTTTGTAATTTTTGTAATAATTTTGTACAAGAGTTTCTTCACATGAACCAATGGGAAATAAATAGTGAGCTGAACTAATGTTAAATAAAATCCCATTTTAGGGGAGGGCTGGGAGATTTAAGGTAAATTTGTGGAATGTTTTATATTTTACAAAGCAATCATGCAGCTATTAGATGATTTTAACACGTTAAAAGCAGTATAAAATTATAAAAAAAGTATATTAAAAAACCAGTATAAAATTAATTTCTCTGCAATATTCATTATTTGAAGCATTCCATTCACCTGCAATAAATCCATTTAGAAAATAAAAACAGAATTGGACACAGAAAATAAAAACAGAATTGGACACAGAAAATAAAAACTGCATCCTTCTGTAGTGCTTGGTTGAAAAATTTAATTTGAAGCCAAAAAAAAGACTTTTTGTGTGCTGTTGGACAAACCTGGGGAACATTTCTTGCCAAAAATTGGAGACAGAAAATAAAAACAGAATTGGACACAGAAAATAAAAACAGAATTGGACACAGAAAATAAAAACAGAATTGGACACAGAAAATTTTTAGATTTCTGCATTTTTAGATGCAGAAAATAAAAACTGCATCCTTCTGTAGTGCTTGGTTGAAAAATTTAATTTGAAGCCAAAAAAAAAGACTTTTTGTGTCCTGTGGGACAAACCTTGGGAACATTTCTTGCCAAAAATTGGAGACAGAAAATAAAAACAGAATTGGACACAGAAAATAAAAAGAGAATTGGACACAGAAAATAAAACCAGAATTGGACACAGAAAATAAATAAAAAAATAAGCAGGAGCACAGGAACTTCACT